TAAGACGCTGTTCCCATCATGCTCCCTGTGGAGCATAAGAAGTCCAAGGAGAGTGGCCAGTGAGCGCCTGGAATAAAGTTTAATGTGCCGCTGTAATGACGCGCGCTGCTTCTCGGCTCCGAACATGTGCACACTGTGCGTGAACGTCTGGCTGGACCCGGGTTCGTGCCTTTCTTTCTGACAACATAGCGGCCAGTTACTGAACTTTGAGACTAAGTTCATTAATCGTATGAGGTTGATCCCTTTAACTATACTGACTTCACAGTATTGGTGCTAGTGGAAAGCTTCCGCCGGAGGTACCTCAGCCCTTTCCGGGGTTAGTGCGCGTACCGATAAGCTGCCAGAGTCTGTGCGCTTTCCTGTACCTTTCCCAAAATTTACTGTGATTGGAGTCTCTCTTGGGGAATCGTATGTTGATTCCTACAGCCTGACTTGTTTACAATTGCGTAACAACAGACTACAGTGGCCCATTGCTTACTTTATGTAGGACTCTTGCGCCCACTAATGCACGCCCCAACCCCCCAAACTCAATTCTGTGAGTTTCGCCAGTCTCGCCTTTTATCGCCCTATCCTTTTGGCAGCATTTGCTTTGGGGGTGGGGAGGAGGAGAAAGAGGCGTTTTCCCAGCGATACTCATGGAGCACGTCTGCAGTGGTTCCCAAAGCGGACTCAGTGGACCCCTTGGGGGTCCTTGGATAGGATCCAGGAGTCTCCAGTAAACTGTAAAAAGTGTTATTAGTGCACTTCTTAAGCAGGTTTGGAGCACAACATCGACATAAGAATAAGGAATGTGTTGGGAAGTCTTAGCAAACTGGGCACCATGATGTGCCTGCTTGATGTGAAAATCGTCACGAACTCCTGGCCTAGTCACTTCATATTATAGCCTATGCTTTTTTTAATCCAACTATTTCCCAGCTACTGTAACTGCAGATGCATCACTCATCTATTGTATACTTGAGTCTTTATTTATTGTGACACTTGGTTTAAAAGCCTGCTGCAGTTTGTATCAACTGGTCATCAATATTGTGTTTTGTGTCAGTTATACAGTACTATGAGAAAATATGCTTAGTGATGCTAACAGAGAAAGGGTAAGTGAGTGATAGAGCTTGATCATGATCTAATCTTACTTTATGTGCAAACATTCTGACAAAGCAACTCTCCATAGGTAGTCTAATCAGCCCTGTCCTTTGGGTATTGGTCCAGCTCAGTTTCTTTATTGGCTCCATGTAGTCTTTACATAGTTGCATAACCACCCAAATTTATGATCTAAAGTTGGCCTGTGTGATCTGAATGCAGATCAGGACTCTCAATGGGAATGTGGGGTACGACAGGAAGGAACACACTTGGTGCCTAATACATGTAGAAAGATTGTCATAGGTAATGCTTTCCAAATCTGTCCTCCCAGTGCACGTTTTCAAGAGGAAAACTCGATATTCCACTCAAACTTGGTAACCAACACAGGAGCACAAAATATTGCCTATATGCATGGTTCTCTGCATGATGACCTCTTGCTGTGGTTGAGTATGAAGTAGTTTGATCATGTGACTGCTGCTGCATACAGTTTAAAGCATCCTATAGTGGTGTCTCTTTAATCCTATGCTTTTTTGACACTCTCTCATTCATAACCAAAGAGGATTACTCTTTTCCTTGCCCCTACCCATTATTTCCCGTTTCCTTTCATTTAATTATGTTGTGGTTACATCGTGCACATGGCAACCACTCGACCTGTGGTTTTTTTCACCCCCTCAACGCCAGTCCTGCTATTTCAGGTCCATGCTCAGTAAGCACAGGCATGATGATGCATGAACTCTGCAAGACTATGGGCTGCCAGCACACTGCTGACTGCCTATATTGCACATAATTATACTTAGAATAATTTATACTCAACTCACAAGGATTTAGACATGTTTTGACTTTTGACAACCTCTCAGAATTCTAAAATTCCTTTGGTTCTGTTGCTCATACTCCATTGGTTTTTGTATTTGTTGCATACCTAAACTTGACCCTTGTTTTCAGCTTAAGCACTTTTTTGAATGTAAAGTAAAATGTTGTGTTCCCCCTTTATGTGGTTGTTTGCACACAGCATAGTTTCAGCTGCAGTCCAAGGTGAAAAGTAGCAGAGATATTCTGTTTGGTGCTATAAGAGCTTGTGGTCCTGCTCTAGGCAGCATTCCATTGGGTGTTGCGTCAGCCAGCAGTGATTCAGCACTGGTTAGTCTAGGCTCATACACTGTTAACACCCCCACCTTGGTGTCATGACACCATTAACCCAACCCTGCTGGGGGACCAGAGCACAGTTCATGTCAGTCAACTGACTTGGCCTGGATCTAAAAGCAGCGCAGCCTCACCCTCTGTAGGAAAATGCTCAGCTGGGTTGTTGGTAGTCAGAAAATAATCCGGTGACGTTAGGGACTGCTCTTTGTTTTCTGGCTAAAGGTTAAGTTTGGACTTGGTTACATAATCAGCTATCATTTCTACGCACACATACAGACACACACTCTCTCTTTCCTGTTAAAACGTTTTACATTTAATTTTGTTTCCACATACTTGGCATTAAAGCAAGCTACAGTTGTTTGTGTTTGGGTTGTGTGGATTAGTACTTAACCACAAATTCACAGTTGTTAAGACAAATGTGACCACTTATTGTTTGACGTTACAAATCAATTAATCTTATATGTACTCAGTACCTAAACTTTAACTACTGAGTACACAGTGATGTGTCAGTCAAGTATACACCCTTTTCTCTTTATTTGTGTTCATTTGCTTTTATGTCTGTCACCTCAGTTTATTTTTGTCTCTCTCCATCTGTCTAACCCACCTTCTGCTCCCCTCAACTCTTTCTTTAGTTGCTCTCCTAGTTTCACTGTGTTGAACTCTGACTGTCTTCAGTGATCTCTCATTCTACCAGCTGAAATCTGCAATGCACAATCAAAACAAACCATGGTTACTTGGCTTTTGTTGTTGTGCTGTAAAGTTAAAAACAAAAAGGGCTTTTTCCCAGAAATCTTTGTCCGGGCATAAACTTACAACAATACAGGCATTTTTCTGTGTCCTAAACCTCACTGATTGTCTTTCATGCTCTGATTATAGCACTTTTACCATGGCCACATGGATTTTGATGTGCATAAATGCATTTTTCTGCCCTCTGGATTTCTAGTATTATTCCCAGAGTTCGAAATGATTAGGGCTTAGAGTGGTATCCTTCACTACGTAGGAATAGGACTTGTGCTCACTCCTTGTTAATATGAATTTTTTTCTGCCAACCAAGTTTGTTAGTATTCCCAAGAATACGGAAGTAAAATAAATTCTGTTTCCCTTTCCACTTAAGTAGAAACATAGACCTGCAACTCTTTTCTGATACAAGTTGTACTTTGTACTTACAGAGTCAGTTTTATGTTTCTCTTTGTTGAAGATGATGATTCCATGATGTCAGACTCGCTCATAGTTTTAGCAAAGTTGTGCTCTTGAATAAAAGTAGATCTAATGTGACAGTTTGTATATTTTAACCACAGTCATCAGTTAAAAAAGTTCTACTACTAACACGTGAAGCAAAGATGGTGTCAAGAGAAGGAGAATCCATTTAACACATCCCCCTGGGGGCCACCATTACAGCCAGCTTGTGCACAAGCACCATTGCTCCCAAGCCCCTTCCATTCATCTATTTCATTGCGGAAGACCAGTTCCCCCAAGCAGCCCAGCGAAATCCTCATCCAATTAGGCACCGTCCACATTTCCAAAAGGCCTTTCTCTCATAGACCGGTGCTATTCAGCCTCTCCCGGCATGACATCAGGCCCTCTCTTATAGCTCCTCTTTATGCTGCTGCTCTCAGATAATGAAAGCTGCCAATTAATGACTAATCAACATGTGCAACAAGCACATCCAGTGAGGAGTGACTATCATCTGATCTGCTGATTAAAACAGAAGACAGAGATGCTCTGTTCAGTTCTCTCTGCCTTAGAAACAACACCCAACCATACACACACACACACACACACACACACACACACATACATTCTGTGACAACCTCATTTGAGAAGCTTCAAAATTAATAATTTGAAATGATAGAATTTTCTATTTTGGAGTTTCCTGAAATACACCAGGTTTTGTTCACTAGTCAGTTTTGGTTTGGCAGTGTTATACTGTGCACTGGTTGCAGTAAATTATAATGGTTTAACCATTTTCACTCTTTATTGAGTGATAGATATAGTCGTAGGAGGACCTAATTCTGATTAGTTTATGTTTGGTGTAATCTAACAGCTGGACTATTTTCACATTTAAGTTCTAGAACAACACTTTACAATGGAGCAGACAACTTAGCTCTTCATCAGTATCATTCCCCATCTCACATATAGCACATCTGTATAGGTTGCATCACCATAAGAAGTTTTGATAACTGACAGCATCAGGGTCAATCATCTCACTCAAGGCTAGTTTAAACCCATAAAGTAGAATAATTGACCTCCCCTCTCCTGGGGTTGGGTTACGGTCAGTATGTCCACTTCAGTGGGTTCCCCAGACATCGAGTTTGATCTGTGCCATTTCTTGAGTTAAGACTCTGTTTATGTTCCGGATTGGAGTGCTGCAGATTGAGTGGAGGGCTCGAATAGAGGGGGCTATGGGCTGAGCAAGGGTTTGGAGGGGAGGGAGGTAGCTGATACGTTACAATGCAGGATTCGGGGGGGTAGAGAGGCCTGGGTGAAGTTTGTGGGTGTGGTGCTCGAGAGAGCAGTGTGACCAGTGTCTGATCTCTTCAGATTTAGAAAGGTGGATGTCACCAACCTGTAGCATTTCATTATACAACACACTGTGTTCTGGGTTACAATAATGAGACACAATACACCATGGCAGTCTGCAGTCCACTACTGTCTGTGGATCAAGGCACAAAGGAGGA